CCCACGAACTCGTTTTAAGACCAGAGGAGATAGATCTTTTAGAGCGGTGGCCCCCAGGTTGTGGAATGCTCTCCCTCCATCATTACGTTGCCTTGATTGTATTTATTCTTTTAAAAAGCAGCTTAAGACTCATTTATTTAGATTGGCTTTTAATTAGATTTGTGCTGTGTGTTTGATTATTAATGTATTTTATGTATTTCTGTTTTATATTACTGTGAAGCACTTTGTGGTTTTTATCCTGTGAAAAGTGCTATATAAATAAATTGATTTGATTTGATTTGATAATGTCCCAGTCCAGAACTCAGCCCGAGTGAAATGCTTTTTGGGGACCTTTTCTGGGACCTTAAGAGAGATGTCCCGAAGTAAATTACCACAGTCCTCAATGAACTAAAGCAAAGAAGAGTGGGACAAAACAAAAAAAATGTGAGAGATTAAAAGTTTTACAGAAAGTGGCAATTCGATTCTCATAAAGTGTTCCATTTTTATGTAAGATTGTGACTTTTTTCATGTCTTTTTTCAAAGGTTTTGGTATCCTAAACTGTAATTTTACCACTGATCCTGGTCTTTGTTGCCTTTTTGGCACCAAACTGTTCCTCCTGAGCTTTAGACTAACACAAAAGCAAATTGTTGCTACAGTTACCTTTCCTCAGATGCATATTTGCCAGTGACAGTTAATTGTTTATAAGTGTAGATTTTGAGGATATGTTAATAGTTTGTTTTTTACCCCACACACTGTCAGTATGTATTTATTTGTATGCCCGTTTCCTTGAGTCAGATCCTCAGAGCTTGAGCGTGGTTTTGCCAGATACTCACGCTGATCCCTCTACTGGCTGCTGAGTGATAGGCATCTCTTCCATGACTGTGTGACAGACGGACAGAGATAGAGCTGTGTTTGAACAGTAAACAAACTTGCTGTACCGAAAACACACAAAAAAGAGAAGAGCAGAAGCTAACAGAACATTTCTGTTTGTCTTTCTCCCATTGCCTCCTCACCCGGGGCATGCCTCCACATTGGACTCAGTGTATGCCTCTGTGTGTGTGTGTGTGTGTGTGTGTGTGTGTGGTCATTGTGGTGAATGATCTGATAAGAAGGAGCTAATCCTGTTGATCCTCTGTGGTCGGTCACCAGTCTTCACTCAAAAGGGAAAATTAGATGTTGTGCCTCTCCAACTGCATGTTTTTGGGTTTGCGACTCGTGTTTGAATGGAAATGTTAATTTACTCTTTAACTACAAGCAAACTGATATTTAGTTGTATACTCATCTGACACTTTATTAGGTTGACCTTGCTGGTACTGGGTTGGAGCTCTTTTTACCTTTAGAGCTAGCTTAAATTCTTAATGGAATAGATTCAACAAGGTGCTGGAAACATCCCTCAGAGATTTTGGTCCATATTGAAATGATAACATCAAATAGTTGCTACAGATTTCTCAACTGCACATCCGTGATGCAAACCTCCCATTCCACTACATCCCAAACATGCTCTATTGGATCGTGATCCAGTGACTGTGGCAGTCATTTGAGTATGTTGTATTCAAGAAACCAGTTTGAGAAGATCTGAGCATGACATAACAAATTGTCCTCCTGGAAGCAGCCATTGCAAATTGAGTACTCTGTGGACACAATGAGATGTACATTGTCAGCAATAATACTCAGATAGGCTGTGGTGGTTAAATAATGCTCAGTTGGTACTAAGGAGCCCAAAGTGTCCCAAGAAAATACCCCCCCGCACCAATACACCACCAGCACCTGAACTGTGTATACAAGTCAGGATGAATCCATGCTTTCATGTGGCTCACACCTAATTTTGACCCTACTGTCTTAATGCTGTTGTTGTGACTCAATGAATTAGAGGTGGTTGGGCAGAAAATTCCCATTAGATCAGCGTTCTCCAAAATGATCAAAATAGCACAACATAACAACCGTGCCACATTTAGGTCACTAAAATCTTTTTTTTTCTATTCCGATACTCCGTTTGAACTTCACCAGGCTCTCTCCAATGCATTTAGGCGTCTACATGCCTAAATGCATTGGCTTGCTATCATGTGGTTGGCTGATTGGATAGTTGGGTTAGTGAGCAGTTGAAAAACGTGGCCTGTGTGTACATGATGCAGCTCATGTCCACTGCCTGAACTAGCTTTCAGAACAAAAGAAGAGAAAACAATCCAATACACAATGTGTTTGGGATCCTGTATCATCACTCTGCCTCTCGTTGTCAGCCACAGCTCCAGCTGACTGATACCGCTGACAGTTATCAGACTCACCATTATGACTCATGTGAAAAGGTTGGATAATCGTCACCCCTGGACGGACTCGCTTTGGGTACTCAATTAGAAATATTTTCTCTCTAAGCTGCAGAGACATTAGTAAATACCATTAGCTGAGTTCAGAGATAAAAACCAGGACATCACATCAGTTCTAAACTTAGGCAAACTGGTTTTCATCATATAGAAACTAAGTACCTGAAAACTTTTCATTTAATTCTTTCAAAAAAATATTTTGCTGTTTTAACTACTTTGAGAAGCAGGATGAGAATGTAATTTCATTTTATTTATGTGAGAGTATCCACACTATATATCCATAATAATATACCAAAGGTTTCCATTAACACAAGGCTGGTTAATGAGGAAATGTCAATTGAGCAGCAGTTTTTAATGTTACTGCATTATCTTTCAACTACAATCATTGCAAACTTAATCATCAAATGCCAAAAATGACTTGATGATGCTCTTTAAGTAGGTTTCTTTAGGCTGTAGGAAGTATTCACTCTGACAACATTTCCAAAAGCACCACAATGTACTTTATAAATGGACTGGCTTTGTGATTATAAGTAATCTTTACATGTGTTGGTTGATATCTACAGTTAAAAGCCTGATATATGTATGTTTCTACATAATTTGGAAACAGTAGAAGTATCCCAGCTGCCTTCATTTGGAATATAAACATATAAATTTTGCTGCTGTTTTCTTCGGCTTGCTTCAGTGGGTTGCAAACACACCAGTGGAGCCAGACATGCACACTAAATCACAAAATATCTTCACTTGTGCTATGTAGAGCTTTTTTTTTTTATTTTAATTTTGATTAGTACTCTAAATAAACGGTCCTTGCAAAAACAAATGCTACAATTCTCCCTTTTCCATTTTGAAGTATTTTCTCTGTTTGCTCCCTTTCTCCCATTCCCCCATCCTCCCTCTTTTCCAGGGGAACTTTGTGCCTTGCTTTGACAGCAGTTCCCCTTTTTTCTGATTTCCCATGCCTTCTTCCTCTCATATTCCCACCGACTTTTCCACAAAAGCTCTCCTCTGGTTGTTTCTGCCAGCAGAGCTATGATACATTTGTGTTTGCCTTGACCTCAACTCATCCTTCAAACATGGAACTTAAAATTTCACTCTATATGACACACAGTAAGTGACATTACCCGTTAGAAACAGAAGCACATTTACAGTGGGGTGAAAAAGAAAGTACTCCATCTTTCACTTCCAAGGTTTTATGTATCTGAGCATAATAATAAAAAAGAATCGCTGACCTCAGATGACCAGAATGACATGATATATTTCATCATATCAGTGTTTATTCAACAAAAAAAAAAGTAAGGCAAAATGCAGAAGCAGTATGTGAAAAACTAACTACACCTTTACTGCTTCCACAGGAATTAAGAGAGTAATCATCATCAGCAAGTGTGGCCATCTCTATAAAAGCTGAAGTTTTGGCAGTTTGCTGTTCTGGAGTTTTCAGGTGTGTGTTAACACAATGCCAAGTAGGAAAGACATCAGCAGTGACGAATGAGAAGCCATTGGAGCTCAGTCAGGGAATGGTTATATGGCCATTTCTTCCATTACTCTATTGTGAGAACAGTTGCATTCTTCCTAGAAGTGGACATTCCAGCAAATTCACACCATGGTCAGATTGTGCAGTGCTCAAAGAAACTCCCAAAAAAGTTAGCATGTTACATGTTAAAGTTTTTGATAATACAATTGGAAAAAGATTGCACAAGTATGTCTTGTTTGCCAGGAGAAAGCCTCTTTTCTTTAAAAAGAACTAGACAGAGCTTAGGTTTGCAAAATTACATCTGAACAAATCACAAGCCTTCTGTCCTTTGGACATACAAGACCAGTGTATAGATGTCTGTATATAATGCAACTAAAACCCAGAATATCAAGACGAATACCTCATACCACCACCATGCACAGTGGTGCAGGGGTGATAATTGGGGGGGGGGGTCACAAATACAGGACCTGGGCTCCTTGCACTCATTGAATCGACCAAGAACTCGTCTGTATACCAACGTATTCTATAGTCAAACGTGAGGCAATCTGTCTGACAGCTAAAGCTTGGCGTACCTTGAGCTGTGCAGCAGAACAATGACCCAAAGCACAGCAGCAAATCTGCAAGAGACCGTCCAGACCAGCTGAAATGCTGTGGCAGGACAGCACAGCATGTCCACAAACCTCAATGAACTGGAGCAATGCAGTAAAGAAGAGTGGGCCAAAATTCCTCCTGAATGAGAGACTGATAAAGTCGTACAGCAAATTATTACTTCAAGTTTATGCTGCTGATCTACTGAATCACGGGGTGGACGTCGTTTTTCAGACACTGCTTCTGTTTTTTTTGGGTCAGTGTTTTTTAAATAAATAATGACATGTGTGTTGTTGTGCATCCAAGGTGCTAAATAATTTTAGATATATACATATAAACACACATAAAACCTTAGAGTTAAAAGAGGGATACTTTCTTTTTCACATGACTGTATGTACTGTATGTACAGGTTGGTGTGCTTCCCTTTGACCTCTGCTGAAGGGAGAAAAATCGCTAAAAAGAATTCATCTTCCATGATTAGCATGAAAAAAATAGGGCTTTTAAATGACCTCATTTAACATGTCAGCTTTCTTTCTGCCTCTGCCTATAGCATTGTAGATGTGAAGTGTATATGAAGTTTACTTTAAGACTGTCCGACTTAAGGCTTAACTAACGTTTACTAAAGGCACCTCTGTCTAATTTTCAGATTGTCCTTCCTGCCAAACCGGAGCTACAGCGACAATGGACGGACAATTCTGGCCAATGAGCAGGAATCCCAGGACTCTCTTGGACCTCTATGAGGATGACTATTTTAAAAACAGAACTGTGATGAACCTTGAGGTGGACTTCCTCAAATAATAGTGATCGTGTCCCTTCTGGATATTCGAGCTAAGATAATGCATCATCATTGTCTGATTTACTTTACTTACTGGTCCTGTCCATGGATCTCTAAAGATGTTCATTACTCAAGTGTGGAGCATCAGAATGGACTTGTTTGTTATAAAATAGCTGGATCAAGGAACTGTGCAAATGTTTCCAGGTATGCTCTTATTACAAAGCCCAAAGAACTAGTCTGGGATCAGTGAACTGCAAGCCCATCCATGTTAACATAATGTGAGACTCATTAACCTAACTTAAAACAACAAGCTTTAGCAGAGCAACCTGCCTGCTGGTCATACAAATGTTTGTTCATATAAGAATACGGCTTCTTTTACAGTACTGCTTCCTTTTCTTGTCTTTTACCAGCATAAACTAAACAACTAAGGTGGCACTGGAGTCTGACACAGAGTTTTTAAAAAGGACTTCATAATTTCTGTTTTTCATTTCTAATCCTGCTGTGAACAAAAACACCAAAGACTGAAGACATGGACATTTTGAGTTTACTCCCAGGAAAGGCATCAGCGGCATCATGCAGTTCAAACAGTGCTGAAGCACCTGCATAACATTTTCACGGAGCATAAAACATGGCCGGACTTCTGTCTGCAGGCCAGCGGCAACATTGAAGTGTAGCTTTATGCCAATGTGAAAATATGTATGTCAAAACATTTATCGTGGTTTTCATCGTTCTGCAGAGAATGACGGTGATTTGTGTTGGAGAATATGCTTTACTTTTGTAAATTTATAAGATAAACTTCTGTAACAAAGCACTGAAAGTTCAGGCGCATTGCCATAAATGTGTCTGAAAAAGTGAAGGTTTCAGGAATGTGAAGAAAAATCTGCTCTGGTGTTTGTGCTTGTGAATGAGTCCAGTTTCCTGTATTCTTTCATGTAAATAAGGCTGCTGTGACACATGAACAGAAATCACTGGAGCATACAGTCACCGGCCACTTTGTTAGGTACATCTGTGAAACCACCTGTAGGTGCAAACATTCAGTTAGTTAATCACATGGCAGCAATTTACATTTACACATAGTCAAGACAAACTGCTGAGCTCTGGAGGAAAAAGAGGGTCCAACCTTGTACTAACAAGGCATAACTAATCAAGTGGCCAGTGACTGTAGTTGGATGAATAAGACACTTTGAAACAAGAAGCAGTCTCACGTATCAAAAAATAGATACAACAGCAATATATTAGAACACCAGAAGTAATTTCTAGTAGCCAAAGCAGGATCAGGATCAGGAAATACCTGCGACCTTCTGTCACATATTCAGTTTATCTCAGAGTTGGGCCTTAAATCCTGCAAACCTTTCTCAGTCATGTATTTCATAATGTGTGACTTAAGGAAAGTAATTTTTTTTTTTTTACTGAAACAGGAGAAAATCTTTTCAGCCAAGGTTCACCAATTATAATTTAGAGAAGTAGGAGACTTTATGTCAGTGAAGCACAAATAAGTACATGTATATACCAATACAGCAACTCACTGGGTGCTTTATGAGCTATAGGTATTACACTGCCAGTGCTGGGTTGGACCCCCTTTGCCTTCATAATTGCCCTAATTCTGTGTCAAAGATTCAACAAGGTGGTGGAAACATTCCTCAGAGAAATTTGGCCCGTATTGACATGATGAAGTTGCTGGAGATTTGTTGGCTGCAAATCTGTTATGTTGTATGGTAAAGACCTACAATAATACAGAGAAAAACCCAACCAGGTGACCCCCTGTGAGGAAACAATTGGTATCAGTGGGAAGGAAAAAGGACAGAGAAATACATACACATAGCATATCAGACTTGAATACACTCACTGGAACAAAGTCTGACAATTGCTCATATAATCAATTGCCCTCCCTGTTAGATGTCATGTTTCACAACATGAAAAAAATATCAGCAGCCTCATGCTTGCATTTACAGAAGCACTGCATCTGCTGTAGATTGTAATAAATTCAGGATCTGGTTTATTTTGCACAAAGGCAGTTTTCAGCTGAGGTGGGTATGAAGGTGTGGAATTTCACAAACGAAGAATAACGGACTTGGAGTTTTTGAGCTGCTTGATCAGTGGACTGATCAAGTGGACTGTTTTAAAGGCAAATTACGTGACATTTGACCACTAGAGGGCAGAAACACTGTAAAACAACCTCAAAGAGCCCTTCAGTGGGATTTACACCTCAATGTTAAATCTACACTGTAAATTACTTAACTAGCTATGTGCTAATGCAGCTTGTAATGATTAATTTCCCTATTCCAGCACCATCTAGTGTTTCATTAGAGAAACTGCAGAACAGTTGCACAGCCTGCAGCCCAGGCTCTACATAAATTCATTGCATAAGCCTAAATCAGACTTTAAGGGAGTACCTGTAATTACCTATTATTACTAATTTTGTCTAATTGAACATATGAAAACAAGTTGATGTGACATTTAAAAACAACAACTAAAAGCAGTACAGTTTGGCACCACTGGTGACTCCTTTACATTTTCCAGACTCCTTTGATTCCAAGGTTTATTCTAAGTTTAGCCCACATGTTGTCTGTCTAAGTTGGTCTCCATCTATCACAGCGCGTTTTGAGTTTGACTTACAAAGGCGTGAAGCTATTATCCGCCTACTGTCTGTCATCACTAATATCTGCGTTATATTGTCCTTCTGCATTTAAAGCATCAGTTAACATCTCTTCTTTCTTTTTCTTCTCAGTCCACAGCCTCCACGTATTTCATGTTTATTAGACGTGATAAAGATGCCAAGAAATGAAAGAATTTTAAACATTTTGGCTTCCAATCTGCAACAAGGTGTAAACAAAAAATAATAGATTTGTCATATAAGGCTCATATGTTGCACATGTTAACAAAGAGTGGTTTATTTACACATTGACTCTGCACCAGGCTACATTAGCGTTTACTTGGTAGTGTTTTTGGCCACCTAACAGAATAACATCCAATAGACAAGCTCCTTTTACCTCTGTCTCTTTTATATAGTCCATCTGATTGCTGAAATCATTAAGATCCATCTTCTGCTGGAAAGAAAATACACATATATGGTCCTTAGAGTCTGTATTTTAAGCAGATTGTCCTCTTTCCCCCAGATTTTGGCAGGGGGAAGCCTATTGTAGTATTTGTGCCTTCTATTGAACGTTCACTTGTCCCAAATTGAGCTCTGTGATGTGATCCTTTCTTCAGCAAGCCGGCATGAGAAAGCAGGCTCTCTGTGAAGCTGAAGCATTTTTAACAAGCTTTCATTATTGTTGGAGGTGGTAGGCAGTAATTACACACAAAGCCCCTCATCAGAATCCTGTTTGGTAACAGCAAACCTGAATATCTCCAATCATTCCCAGTGCTGCTAAAAAAAGAAAAAACTAAACAAATGACTTAGGTTGGTGTTTGCTGGCCGTTAACTAAACGGTGAATTCATTATATTGTGAGCCTTCTCACAACTCTCTGACTCCACTGCAATCCTTCTGGGATTATATCCTGTCCAAGACCTAGAGATCTCAAGGCTCTGGCTCATATAGCACCACAGTGCCAGAGCTGGACCCAGTCTTCTAAAAACATTTGGCTCGAGGATTAATCTGAAGCTAACACAGGAACAGAACATTATTTTTAACCTAACAAGACATAGATTTATACTTCCATCTATGGTACTGAAAAAAAATAATGTTGACTGCAATGGAGATGTTTTTGTTTCAGGGTCTGAACTCTTATAGCAAACAGGCCTGCACAACGCAAAACAATTTGTTTGACGATATAAAATGTGGTACCTCATCATGGGGGTTTATCACTCTTTCCACATGGAGGCAAGATCTTAGAGTTAACTTCAAAGCACGGCCCCAAGAGCCACTTTTAGGTGTGTCCCATTCATTGGGAAGCAGTCCCACATGGTTCCTATTGGAAAAACTTAAATAAGCTAGCTGTAAGCAGTTCATTAAGCTTATTAGATATACTCCTGCTCAACCAACCTGTTAGTCTTAACCAACAAGTATTTTCTTTCATAACACCAAAAAAAAAAAAAAAAAAAAAGAGTTTGAAAATTCCTTTAGTGAAGCACAAATCTTACTTTAACATGCAGCAAGTTTTACTCATCGTGTACATCAAGTTGTAGTGGGCTCTCTACTGCCCCCTGTTATGAGAGCTCAAAACAAATCCCACTGGTTGGGCAAATTTGTAGGTAGTTTCTATTGGGAAAACTGGGCTAAAGAACAGTGCATAGCCACAACCAGCACCACCCGGCCCTGTCTCAAACGCAAACAGTTGTTTCTTCAAGTCAAGTATAAGATGAGCAGAAGACATCCAGCTGCGCAACAAAAACTAGTACCGACACACGGTGCTACTTGGAATACAACAGATGAGCCAATTCAGGTGAGGGGGTTTGTTTTTCCCCATTAGTCTTATAAAGCGACGGAGTGTAGATGTCTTTAATGGATTTGGAAGTTTAGAAAATGACTGGTGCAGTGCAGAGAAAAATGGGATGGGGATAAAGAAAGCAGAAATCAGAGACTCTCATAGACTTCCTGCTTAATACCACCAGATGTCGTCGCAACACTACTAACTGTAATGGGCTTTTCTATTCAGCGGGTAGAGTAGGATTTCATATTACTGAGGGGGGAAAAGACTTCTGTTTGTTTGTTTGTTCAGATTTTGACAGGAAAAGCATCATGCCTGTTATAAGTGACAGCTTTCCAACACAGAAAAGCCTCCATCACTATGATAACTGTTATGAGCTACAAGTCTACCGCTGGAACTTAAGCTAAACTATCTCTTTATGATTGCTTTGTTGTTATTGTTATTACTATTATTATTAAGGTATGAAATGGAAATCTCACAGGAGTGTAATCCAAATTCAACGATTCTTAAATAATTTCAAGTCTATATTTAATCAAAAACAACAAGTAATAAGCGACCAAATGCTGAAAAATCTATAGACACACAACTGTTAAA